CCCATAATTCGATCCCTGCTCCTGGATGAAAAGCCGGACATTTTCATCAATACAAGAACCCCCAGTCCGGACGCCCGGACAGAGAGTGAAAAGTGGACATGTCCAGGAAAAACAGGACTTATGGTCACCCTAGTTTAATATAAAGCAGGAGATTACAGATACAGTACTTTGCTCGTGGCCTTGCTGCCCTGGGCCCTATAGAGTTCGTGGGCCCTGGGCAATTGCCCAGTTGCCCATATGGTTAATCCGGCCTTTATTCCAGCTGTAGGACCCCCATCCGGACCCCGTGCTTCCAGGTGGTTTTGCTGAGTGGCCCTTGGACCATTACATTTGAGGACCATTGGAGACCTCAGGAACCCTTTTGCATGTAGTGAGTGTAATGAGTGTATCTCTGCAATTAGGTTCACTTTTCATATTGAAATTAGGGCCGTGACTTTAACGAGTTAATTGATGAATCAATTAGAAAAAAAATGACGTGTTAAAAAAAATTAACGCATTTAATCACAGCTTGCATTTCGAGCAAGGCGGAGCCTTTGTCATTGCACAATTTCCTCGTAGACAGAATATCACTGACGCACACAACAATGCACAGCGCTAATGGCTACTAAAACAGAATAAAAACAGAAAGAAGTTGCCTTGCTTGGACCGATGCAGGATTTAGGAAACACATCCGCCTTTTTTCTTAACTTGGAAAAATAACTTCCAGACAACAACGGAGTCTGTGTCGCGGACATTTTTCAGAGATCGTCTCTGCTGCAGCTGCCCGGTGGCACCGGAAACTTTACAAAGGTTGCAGTAAGCTATATTTTTAACATTTACGTAACATCTGTGCAGCGCTGAAAGCTCCAGACAGAATAATTCTGTGCCCTAACAGTAGTTTATGAAAGTAGTCAGACAAACGAGAGGCACCTGGCTGCCGCTGGGAAAATGCTCCGTGTTCTCACTACTCTGATTTTAGTTGATTTGGGTCTTGTTTCATATCACACAGTGACATTTGAATAATTAAAATGCATTTTTTTTATTAAAAGCTTTAGTTCACAGTAATAACCATGTCTAATGTTTGATTCTCTGTCTCATAAATCTAATTAAAAATTTTGCTTCGAGGGCACATTTTTCTGAACGATTAAAATGTGATTAATTTAGATTAATTAATTACAAAGCCTCTAATTAATTAGATTAAAATTTTTAATCGAGTCCCGGCCATAATTGAAATAAACGAACGTTTGCACCACAAACTTATTTCCATAGTTTCACCTGTTTAGAATGACTCTGGTTAATTAGGTAACTTTTATCTGAGGATACAAAGAAGATGATAAAGCCAACGACTTAACGAGAACACGCTTGTGTGTCTTACACAAGAGTTGCACGACTATGAGTTCAACAGATTAGGAGGTGGAGTCAGAAGATCACAGATTATTAACATTTGTGAATAGAACAATACACATTAGTCATATTTCACTTCATATTGGTGATCTCCAGTGTGTAATCTTAGAGCAGACGGGAACTTGACTCCAGTTCCCTGTAGGGCTTGAGTTTTTTATATGATGCTAGCCTAATTATTCATTATTCCCAACAGACAGAGGCTGCAAAACAAAATGAAGCCATTGCTCAGTGTCAGAGTCAGTCAGGCAGAAAGAGAGGCAAATGAGAGCAGATGCCCCACTCCCTCCTCTCCTCACACACACACACACACACACACACACACACACATACACACGCACACATGCACAAACATGTTGTCGGCCGATGGAGAGGCAGCAGCCCAGGCAGCATGGCTTTGTTTCAGTGTTGTAATCCCAGGGTGACGGAGGAGGAGCTGCACCACCCCGCACAGCCTGGCACAAAGCCAAAACAAGTTTTACATGTTTAAACTACACGTTTGCCATTACTGTAGTTTCTGTGAGTAAACGTTTTAGTGCACTTGCTAAAGCTTTATGTAAGAGAACAATACGCTGATGCAAACTGTCAAATGCATCTTCATTTTAACATCTATCATAGACAATCCAGCACGAAACATGGAACCTGGTAAATGATGAAATAACGGTGGGAACTTTGTTCCCTCCGTTCAGTAAACTGAGTGCCCTGGTTTTGGTTCAGGCATCCGTCTGTTGTAGATCATTGTTTGGGTCCAATGAAGACGGACTGTCCAACAAATTCCCCTATCGGATCAATGACTTAAATGAACTGACAGAGAATAAAGAACACACTGGAGCCCAAAAGCGTGTTCCCGGGTAGCTCTGACCGTAAAGACAAGCATATCTGCTACCTGCTCATTTAGCTGCTGCTTATTCCACAGAGGCACACTCCTGACAAGTAGATGCATTGCCAAGAAGCATTGTTACAGTGAGGACATAATTAACCAATCATAACTCCTGGTGCTAGGTTACTCATGTTTGCTGCAGCTTGTGCACATTTGGTGTAGCTCCTTTGTAAACAACCTCTTAGGGGTGAGGTGGGTGGGGATGGAAGTGGCTATGGGGTTACCATGGCACATCAAGGTTCTGTGTGGTTTAGGTGACACAACTGAACTCTAATTAACTACTGCAGCCACAAGTTACTTTCAATCTTGACTTTACATCCAGTTTGGTTTGACCTTTGCCCTGGTTAACCCTAAAGGCTGATTCATGCTTCTCCATCAGCTCCGCAAGGGACAGACACGCACGGATTGACGGAAGCATTTTGTTCTCATACTTCTCCGTCTCCTGGAGAGTGTTGCAAAGCAATTCCCCGGCAGGACAGCAGAGGGCGTAGCGCTGTTTTGTGGTATCCTGTCATGTATCGGTCCAACATAGTGTGTGTTTTTTGTACATAAGAGACTTTTTAACAGACTCCTCCACATCTTCATGCGCTCCCCACCTCTAAACCCACGTTTCCAGTCATTTCCGTCCACAAATAAAACGCTTGCTGCGCATCTTTTCACTCCTCCAGTCACAGGGAATTAAACGTTCATGTTTTAGAGTTTTTTCGTGAGGTATTCTTCAAGCTGCTCCATGTCTGCCGCTAGTTATCCTCGGCTCTCTTTATGTTTTTGAGGGCGCAATGGCGGCGGTGCAGACGACAGCGGCACCCTGACCAATCACAAGCTTGCATTCTCCGTCTCGTTCGACGGATGTTTAAAAAAGTGGGCTCGACTCCGTACATACTTGCGTGCCTGCCGGGGCCCTACGTAAGGACGGATAATGGCGTTGCGTGTCTCCGCACTGACGCAGATGGAGAAGCATGATTCAGCCTTAACCCTAACACCATGAAATAAAAAAAAAGGTAAAATGACCTTGACCAAAGCCCGTTACAACCCAACGTCCATGATGAGCTGCACTGTGGTCCCAGCTGCCCTGGGGTGCACTGACAGAAGCGATGATGCAACACTCACTAGGTGCCACTGGTCCCTCTGACCACCACCAGCAGGCAGGTGGAAGAAAGTGTCTTGCCCAAAGACACAACGACGGTCACAAGCCTGCAACCCACTGGTTATGATAAATGACCCGCACTTGTATAGCACCTCTCAGAGTAAGGACTCCAAAGCGCTTTACACTACAGTGTATCATTCATTAATTGTGAATCACTGGTGGTGATGAGCTACGATGTAGCCACAGCTGCCCTGGGGCGCACTGACAGAGACGAGGCACCACCGGTCCCTCCGACCACCACCAGCAGGCAAGGAGGGTTAAGTGTCTAGCCCAAGGACACAACAGCAGAATTCTCTGTCCGAATCCGGGATTGAACCTGCAACCTTCTAATTACTGGACAACCCGCTCAACCTGTTGAGCTATTGCTGCCCTAATTATGTTATGGGGCGGGACCATGACTCATTTCAACATAGCCCACAATGACACCAATGTAACCATCTATCTGGGCAGAGAGTTTACTGAAAGAAGGAACAGGTTTCATTTCCACGCTCTGAAGTTTATTCCTCTAACTAACGTTTGTCAGTGATGTGTGCAGCTGCTTTAATGTTACAGTAAATAATCTGCTCATGGATCTGTAACTACTGCTACCCTGTTGGAAACGTCCCTGTCACACCTTTTAAGAAGAATACATTATGTAACATGCAGTTCTTTGATGGAACACAAGTCTTACCTGAATTCAGGACTGTGGTCCTAGAATACCACCCTGAACGCCCTCCCCAGGTGGTTTGTGCATTGAGCAGCTTGAGTTTGTCAAACAGTTCTTCAGATCCCACTGTGCCCATTTGCTGCTTGTCAGTGGCTAAATTCCTGAGCACTCGATTTATTGACGATACCTGGTGATAAATCCAAATCAGAAGAGAATCTTAGACAATGAAGTCCTTGGTAGGAAGAATAGGATACCAAACATCATCAATCAGCAACATCTGTGCCACTGAGGGGCTGAAACCAGCCCAGTCACATTTATTTAAAGAGCACATTTAAGGAGATCAACTTCTTAGCTTACAGGATGTCAAAGCCTTTCTTACACTGGGGATATTGTCGCTGGTGCAGACTTCCTCTGCAAGCAGTCGGTCTCTGATCTCCCATGCAAAAATGGACGGACACTCCCTCTTGTACTGGGCGATCTTCGCCACTACCTCTGGAGTCGCCACTCTGGGTTTACTCCCTCCTATTGCTCGAGGACGGATCGAACCTGTCTCATAATACCGACCCAGAATCTTACTCACACAGCCATTGGAGACCTGGACACACAAGCAGCACTGTGTTCAGCAGATGATCACATTTGTTAACACAGAGAAATGAACCAGATGATGTCTTATCTTGTGGGGAAAAAACTGAAGAGGGAAAAAAAGAGTCATTATCCCAGAGGTCAGAGAGTGGGAGACAGGGTCACACCAGGACAGGTCCATCATCAGGTCCAACATACTCTACATCATATCAGAACCAGAGTTTTACCCAATAGTTTTAGATGTGGGGAGGCAGGGCGTTAAACCACGCCCACCACCTCATCACACCTGTGTGTTCTGTGTGTTTTTAAACAATCTACCCAGAGAAAATATTTAATGGATCCAGTAAGTCCTGGTTCTGACACCG